TTGTTCCAACTTAAAAAGCACTGAGGCTGGTTGCAGTGGCTCACGATTGTAATCCAGTTACTCAGGAGGTGGAGATTTTGGAGATTCCAGTTTGACGCTAGCTGGACAAAAGCTCACCTATCTTAATGAACTGGGCATTGTGATCCAGGTATGTGGGAAGCTGTCAGTAGGAAAGACTGAAGTCTGAGGTGGGTCCCAGCAAAAAGCAACAAGATCCCACTTGAAAACATAAGTAAAGCAAAAAAGGACTGGGGGGCATGGCTCAAGTGATAGAGCCCTGCTAGCAATCACAAGCCCTGGGTTAGAACCCAGTACCTCACTCCCCCCCAGAAATTGATCCCAGCTACTCAGGAGCCATGACAAGAGGGCTGTGATTCAAGGCCATCCTGGGCAAAAAAAAAAAGTTATCAAGACCCTATCTCAAAACAACAAGCTGGGTGTGTTGGTGCCTCAGAAGTGGAGGCAGGAGAGTCAAAGTCAGAGGCTGGCCTGGCCAGGCAAAGGATGACATTCTGTCTGAAAATAAAGGAAAGTCAAAGGGCTGGGAACGTGGCTCAAGTTGTAGAGTGCTTGCCTAAAGTTCAGACACCCTCAGATCAAACACCAGTACTGCCAAAACCAAAACCACCATAGTGAAGTGTAGCCATCTTGACAGGTTTGGCAGGCGCACCTTGTGACCTGTACCCGATTTAAGATGCAGGACATTTTGTTCACCCAGAAAGCTTCCTGTGCCCTTTCCCACCCACCCTGCTTCTTGCGCTGAGAGTAGTTTTACATGTTCTCCAGCTTTTGATAAGTAGAATCATACAGTGTGTATCCAACAGTTCTGATTTTTTTTTTTTTTGTTACTGGGGATTGAAGTCGTTCTCACACATGCTGGTAAGCAAGTGCTCCATCACTGAGCTTGTCTTTAAAAACTTTTATTTTGAAGCTGGGTGCTGGTAGGTCATGACTAATCTCAGCTACTTGAGGGGCTGAGATCAGGATGACTGAAGTTCCAGGCAAGCCCAGGCAAAAATGTTTGTGAGACTCCATCTCAGTGGAAAAAAGCTGAGCATGGTGGCACGCGCCTGTCATCCCAGCGATGGTGGAAAGTGTCAAATAGGAAGCTTGCAGTCCAGAATAACCAGAGCAAAGAAGGCTGGAGGGGTGCCTAGCAAGCATGAAGCTGTGAGGTCAACCCCAGGACTTCCAAAAAATTTTTAGAGCTAGGGTTTGTCAAGTTTCCCTGGCTGTTGTCAAACTTGCAATCCACCTGCCTCAGCATCCTGAGTAGGTTGCGTTACAGGTGTGCACCAGTACGCCCAGAAAACTTCTGCTTTTTTCTTTGGAGGGGTGGTAGTGTGTTTTGAACTCAAGCTTGCTAGGCAGGCTTTCACCACTTGAGTCACCCTGCCAGCCCAAAAATTAATTCTTAATCATAAACACCATCATGGCAAGTATATTCATATTGTGTTCTTATTTATTAGCATGTGGACATTATTATTTAGGTATTATAATTATCCTTTTTTTCCTTTCAGACAAATGATAAAAACAAAATATAGCCTGAAAGGAGAATGTGGACCTACATATCCAGAAGCTCTTCCACCAATGAGATTTGTAACAAAAATATATGATGGAATAAATAATTCCAGTGGAATGATAGGTTAAACTGCTCATTTTATTTTATATACATGTAACACAGTCAGGAGAACATTTTGGAAAACTCTGTTCACCTGGGAACTAAAGAAGTTTGTCACTTAGGAAGCAGAGGCAGGAGGACTGTGAGTCTGAGGCCAGCCTAGGCTACAAAACAAGACCCTGTGTCAAAAAGAAAAATGTTTGTCTTCAGTTGTTGTCTTGATAAAGCAGCCTATCCTTAAATCTTAGCATACCTGCCTAATGGATGGATTGTACTGCTTTTCTTAGGGTTTTACTAATTGCATCAGTAGCCATATCTGGGTTGAATCCTTATTGGTGAAAAGATGACCATTATTTCTCTTTGAATGTTACTTTTCTTTAGGGCTGAAGTACTTTGGTGAGATGAAAGGAACAGATCTGCATGAGGATTTTTCCTTTGGGAACAAGTGTGTCTGTTGGAGGATCATGACGGAGCGAGGTTGTCGTGTTAAAGTACATCCATCAGAAGGATGTGCTGTATGACCCTTCCCCTCGGAAGGGACAAGGTAGTAGAAATAGCTGAATTTCTAATATGCGTTGACTCTTAGCCCATGCTCTCTTGGTGCCATGTTGAGAGCACTCGCACTGTGAGTAGCCAGATAGACAGATTGATAGACAGACAGACAGACTGTCCTGGGATTTCAACTCGGCTTTGAGCTTGTGAGGCAGGTGCTCGACCTCTTGAGCCATGCCTCCAGCCTGTTTTGCTGTGGTTATTTTGGAGAAAGGATCCTGTTTATTATGCAGGCCAGGGATTTTCCTATCTTAAGCCTCTCACCCATTTAGTTTGATGCTGATTTGTCATAAATAGTCTTAGTTGAGGTATGTTTCTTCTCTTCCTAGTTTTTCAGAGCTTTCATCATGAAAGGATGTTGAATTTTGTCAAAGGCTTTTTTTTTTTGCATCTACTGAGATGATCATATGGATTTTTCTTTGATTCTGTTCATGTGTGTATGTTGAACCATTCTTGCAATCCTGTATGAAACAAACTTATCATGGTGGATGATCTTTTTAATGCGTTGGTGAATTTGGCTTATTAGTGATTGAGAATTTTTGCATCATTGTTCACTGGGGAAATTGGTCTATAATTTTCTCCCTTTTGTTTTGTTTATCTGGTTTTGGTATCAAAGTAAAACTAGCTTCATGGAATAAGTGTTCTTTTCGGTTCCCTTTTTTATGGAATAATTTGAGGCCTCCTTTTAAGGCTTGGTAGAATTCATCAGTGAATACATCTAATAGCTTTTGTTGGTAGACTATAATTGCTTCAATCTAATTACCTGTTATGGATCTGCTTTAAGTGGTTTATATCCTCTTGGTTCAAGTTTGGACAGTCTAAAAATCTATCCACTTCATCTATTTTCTAGTTTTATTAGGATGTAAGTTTCTGAAGTGTTTCCTGATGATCCTCAGAATTTCATTGGTATTTGTTGTGATAGCCATTTCACCTCTAATTTTATTAATTTGGGTCTTCTCTACTTTGTTTGGTTAGTTTACCTAAGGAGTATCTCATTTATCTTATCAAAGAACCAACATTTTGTTGAATTGATTCTTGCTATTGATTTTTAGTCTCCATTATTTTCTTCACTAATCTTTATTATGTCTTTCTGCCTACTAATTTTAGGTTTGGTTTGTTCTTGTTTTTTTAAGTTGAGATGCATCATTGGGTTACTTTAGAACTCTCTATTTTTTTAAGTAGATGCTTTAAAGCTTAAAGTGTAAGCTTTCCTCTTAGCTCTGCCTTTGCTGTATCCTAAAGGTTCCAGTAAGTTGTGTTTTCATTTTCACTTGACTCTAGGAATTCTTTGATTTCTCTTTGTGTGTGTGTGTGTGGTACTGGGGTTTGAACTCAGGGCCTATACCTTGAGCTACTCCGCTGTCCCTTTTTGTGATGGCTATTTTCGAGATAGGGTCTCGTGAACTATTTGCCCAGGCTGATCTCTTCCTCCTGAGTGGCTAGCATTACAGGTGTGAGCCATCAGTGCCTGGCTGATTTTCTGTCTTATTTCTTCAAACCACCATCCTCCTGATCTTTGCCTCCTGAGTAGCCAGGATTACAGGAGTGAGCCACTGGTACCGGTAGCATCTTGTCTTTTAATCCAACCAGGAAGTCTATGTCTTTTGGTTGGAAAATTGAACACATTAGTGTTCAGCATTATTATGGAAAGGTATGTAGTATTTCCTGTCATTTTGTTG